CACCCTCTTCACCACTCTCTGCTCTCTTTCCTCACCACTGCCTGAAAGATGTGACTCACTGCTCTTACAACCAGAGCCAGCTGTGCAGGGCGCCCCGGCCCCAAGCCAGCCTCCAAGTCTCCCCACTGTTGTCCACTGGCACCTGACCTACCTGCCACACTGCCCATCGACATCCAAAGAAAGGCCAAAGTCTTCAGGGACAAGGTCCCTCTTGAGCGAGGCGGGGCAAGTCACAGGATCTGAAGTGACATCAGGGGACTTGAGACATCAGGAACCCAGGGAGGATTGAACCCTGGGCCGAGCGCACAGCTGACTGCTCGGGTCCATGGGGGCCTGGCACCCCTCGGGCACAGCTGACCATGGCATCGGTGCCTATGAATGGAGGGCAGTGGGACAGGCCACAGAGGAGCCTGCCTCATGGCCACTGGACTGAGGGATGGGTCCCAGGTATCAGGGATGGTTCTCCACCCTCCCTCCAAGGCTTGGCTTCAGGGGGCCTCTGGGAGTAACATCGATGCCGAGGAGAGGCACCTGCTGGCTCAGCCAGTTGAGTGTCCAACCCTTGATATTGGCTCCACCCAGTATGGAGCCTGCTTGGGATTCTCTCTCTCCCCCTCTCTCTGCCCTTCCCTCATTCTCTCTCTCTCTCTCTCTCTGTCTCAAAATAAATAAATAAACTTAAAAAAAAATGCCTAGGAGATCATCAAAAGAGTCATATCAGAGAATGTCTGGAAGGAGACACGGCCAACACCCATTCAGAATGCCTAAGAGTCTTCTCCCTGGTCCCCTGGTTCCAGAGAACCAGGCAGCCAACAGGACCATAAGAGCAGGTGCAGAATGGTCCAGGCCCTTCTGTGGGAGAAAAACAGAATTGAGAATCCATGATTCTGTGACTTGGGGCAAGGGGATATGGAGGTGGAAGAAAACGGAGAGTGGGAACCTTCCTCTAGCCGCAGCCCCTCTTGACCGGCCACCCCAGCCCGCCCAGGCCCTGTCCTAGCCCAGCCTCAGGATCCCTTTATTAAGGGTCGGGAACCAGCTTTTTTACCTCTTGTGGCAGGGTGGGAGGAGACTAAGCCCCAACTGTGAAGCAGAACGATGGAGAACAGGACTAAACATGCGGGGGAACCGCAGCAAGAGAAAACAAGGGTAGAGTAAGGAAGGACTGCCTGGTCGACAAAAGACACTTAAATTCATTCAATTAACAAATAGCGACCGAGTACCAGTTCTGCACTGGATACGGTGCTAGGTGCTAGAGCCACAGAGACGTAGGGAATGTGTTCTCTGACCTCAAAGACCTGAGACTATAATAAAGTAATAATAAGACCCAGTACCTGTATCATGTTTATGATATGTTAAGCCCTATTCTAAGTGTTTTATGAGTCATCTGATTCTCATAACCAACCTTCTAAGCTAGATACTGTTATGACTCCCATTTCAAAGACGGCAAAGAAATCGAGGCCTAGAAGGGTTAAGTAACCTGCCCAAGGCTGCGCGGCCAAGAGGAGGATTTGAACGAGGCCCAGAGTCTGTGCTCACTGCCATCTTGCTCCCCCCCTCCTGGATAGCCACCTCACAGCCATTCTCCATGGCCCCGGGAGCCCCTCATCTGCCACCATGCCACCTCCATCCCAAATCATGTGTCACGACAGATTATCCTCACCCTTTCACCAGACACACGCAGAGCACTTGCTGTGGGTAGGCCCTCTGCTGGTGCTGGCCAGGCCGACCTCAGCCAGGCTGGGGCCTGACCCCTAGGGAGCTCTCTGGTTGGTGGGTGAGGTCAGCCAGGTAGTGTGGCCGTCAACGCAGGGAGAAATAGGTATGGAACACTCTGGAACCCCAAACGAAGGAGCCAGCACCAAGCATGACAGCCTCAAGAACAAGGGTCACTTGTGAAACTTACAATCTTTTGTGCATCAGGGTGCCTGGTGGGCTCAGTCGTTAGAGCATGTAGCTCTTGACCTTGGGGTTGTGAGTTCAAGCCCCACTTTGGGTGTAGAGATTGGTTAAATAAATAAACTTAAAAAAAAAATCTTTGGTGCCTCAAAAGACACTGTCAACAGAGTAAAATGGCCACCGACAGAATGGGAGAAAATATTTGTAAGTCACATATCTGATATCTGATAAGGGATTGATATCTGGAATATATAGAGAACTCCCCAAACTCAACAACAACAACAACAACAACAACAACAACAACAACAACAACAAAATAACCCAATTCAAAAATGGGTAAAGGACTTGAAGAGACATTTCCCCAAAGAAGACATCCAGATGGTCAATAAGCACATGAAAAGATGCTCAACATCAGTCATCCTCAGGGAAATGCTCATCAAAACTACAGTGAGGTACCTCCTCACACCCATCAGGATAACAGCTATCAATAAAAAAAAAAAAAAAATGAGGGGTGCCTGGGTGGCTCAGTCGGTTAAGCATCAGACTTCTTCAGCTCAGGTCATGATTTCACGGTCCATGAGTTTAAGCCCCAAGTCGGGTTCTGTACTGACAGCTCAGAGCCTGGAGCCTGCTTCAGATTCTGGGTCTCCCTCTCTCTCTGCCCCTCCCCTACTCATGCTCTGTCTCTCTCAAAAAAAAAAAAAAAATGAATAAACGTTAAAAAAAAAATTTAAAGAAGAGATTCTCCCCCTCTCTCTTCCCCTCCCCCACTCACTCTCACTCTCTCTCTCCAAAAAAATGAATAAACGTTAAAAAAAAAATTTTTAGTTCTTTCTTCCTCTATCTCTCCCCCTCCCCCCTGCTCTCTCTCTCTCTCTCTCTCTCAAATAAAAAAATTTTAATGACAAATACCGTATGATTCCACTTCCCTGAGGTACCTACAGTAGTCCAATTCATAGAGACAGGAAGTAGAATGGCGGTTGCCAGGGGCTGGGGGCAGCGGGGGCAGGGGACAAGGGGCGCTGGTGTTTCATGGGCGCCCAACTGCAGTTGGAAAAGACGAAAGAGCTCCCGAGAAGGACGGTGGTGATGGTGGTGCAACGATACGAATGTACTTCGTGTCACCGAATCGTACGCTTTAGAGTGGTCAAGACAGTCAATTTTATGTTAAGTGTACTTTCCCACAATAAACAAAAATTAAGGAAAAGAATCCGAGGCCAAGTGTAACTCCAAAGCTGGCGAGGCTAAGATGAGAAAGTTCCCTGAGGCAGGGCCGGTGCCGAGGCAGCGAGAGGCCACACAGGGGGGAAGCTGAGTGAGGCAAGGCCTGGTCTCTGCCACCAGGCCCCGGAGAGGCTCCGGCCGCGTCACTTCCTCGCTCCGGGGCTCAGTGTCCTCATCTGTCTAGTGGGGTTAATGGAACTTGCTCTGCCGTGCCCATACTGCGGGTGCAAAGGGCTTGAGAAAGGACAGGCTGCCTGCCGGCCTGCGGTCTCTGAGCCAGACGCTAACGGTTAAAAGCCACAGGCAGGAATCTGGTGGAAGTCATTAGATTTCAATGCCTGAGAAAAGACAAAAGGGTTCATGAAGAGCTCTGGGAACCGTGAGTAGGAAAGAGCGAGCTTGAGGTGAAGGCTTCTCAGAAGTAGAGACAGCCCTGTCGGCCCCAGGCTTTCCTGTGAGGGTCATCTTCTTGTCCATCCCCCTGCCTCCTCTAGGCTTGTGCTACGGGACAGCCCCTCAGAGCCCCTGCCTCTGCCCCTGGGGAGCCCCCAGGCTGCAGGGAGGACACAGCCACATGCAACCACGGAGCCCAAGGCAGTGACAGACAACCCAACATAGCTGAGCTCAGGGCCACTGGATTCCCGTCACTTCCCACCCATCCTCGCAAGCACTAACAACTGGGGTTATTGTGACCCAATCCTTCTCTTCCTGTGGCTTTGTCTTTTTGTGACTGGCTTAGTGCACTTAGCAAAATATCCTCAAGTTTTATTCACGTCGTAGGGTATGTTAGAACTTCCTTCCTTTGGAGGGCTGAATAATACTCCATTGCAAGTATAGACCGTGTTTTGCTTATTCGTCCATCCATTTCCAGGCTGGATGGGGCAAATCATGAAAGTCTTCTGGAGGCTTGGCTGAGCCAGCCTGCTGGAGAAACAGCAGGGCCGCAGCCCATCACCCACAGTGGCAAAAAGTACAACACTTTGATGCAACACAGACCAGGGGTCGAGTCCTGCTCTGCCCCTGGCTCTTTGTGTGATCCCAAGCCGTTACATAAGCTCTCCCTTATCCACTCCGGTTAACGTGGGGGGTGAGATTTGTCCCCTTCTCCCAGGGCTGTTGGAAGGATGACAAACGAATCTACGTATATCCCCAGGGCCCAACAAAGGGTGGCCCTTATCATCAATATTATTACTCATGATTCTGCTTCTCAAGGCTGGGGGGTGGGACAGGGATGGAGAATGGAAGGACTGGGGTGTTGCCAGGTCAGGATGGAGTGATGTTGGGGTACCTTCCGAGTGTGTGGGACACGAGTACGTCTGGTGGTTGGGGGTGAGGGGCCGGGAACTGCCTAGCCAAGGCCTGACCTCCTAAGGTTCCAAGACGTGTTCTTCCTTCTCATTTGGCTAGAAGACCCCCCACCCCTACAGTGGGAGTCCTAAGCCCAGCAGGTTTTTCCTCTCCCAAACTTCTCTTCTGCCAGAGCTGGGGGGAACAGCACCCTGGACTTTACCCTCCCTTTTGGGCTCACAAGTTCCCCGGGCCATCTGCCCTTAAAGGCACACATGGCCCAAGGCCAGCCAGGAGAGGAGGAAGCCCCTGAGAGGATGTGTTCAAAAGCACCACCATCCTCTTCTTCGGGTGTCACCCCAGGCCACCCCTTTGTCACCACCTCCCACCCATCCTCATAAACACTGACATCTGGGGCTATCGGTGACTGGACAGGTAACCATTAACCCCAAGAGAAGGTCCTGGCCCTTTAAGGCTGCCCTGGGAAGAAATGACAAAATCACCCCACTGGACTTTGTGCCCTGAGGCTGCTGGGGAAAACACGGCCTGGGAGCTGCATGCAGCCTGCTCAGGCAGGCCCACAGCCAGGAAGTCCCTTCCCCTCTCCCTTCCTCTGACAGGTTTGCCCTCTGCTCTTGAGACATGGGGACTCTGCTGTGCACGCAGGTCTCCGAGAGGCGTCTTCTCTCTGATGGGCATCCTCTCTGCCCCAATCACTAGGCTTCGTTCGTACCCCCACCTCCTTCCAACAGGTATCTCAGCCTGAGCCGTCCTTTCGATGACCATTGACCACTGTGCGAGGAGGGGACCCTGGTAAGGACCACCCTATCTGGGCCCAGCACCCAGCCCAGAGCCTGCGTGCAGCCCAGTGAAGGCACTGGCCTAGTGAAGACAAAGGGAGCTGGGCGATCTCTGGGAGAGAGCACCGGTGGGAGTCGGAACACTTGGATTCTGGACCCGGTTCTACCCTGAGTCACTGCCGGGCCTCAGGAGTATCTCTGCCCATCTCTGAGCCAGCATGTCTGCCTGCAGGGGACGGGCCCTCTCATTGCTAGCTTGTGTGTGTGGCTCCAGACGGAGCAGGGGTTGCTGATACAGGATATGACCTCCATTCTCCTCCTCTCCATGAACCAGGCCCCCAGTCGGGTCACAGGCTAACGGAGATGGGCAAGAACTCTCTCAAACAGCTTACACCAAATGAATGGTTATGTAAGAATCTCTTAAGGGCCTACGTGCCGCCTCCTCGGGGAAGCTTTCTCGGACCGCCCCAACATTTGGTTCCAGCGCCGAGGACTGCTCTGATAAATATCTCACCTCCTTGAGGTTAGGAACTGTATCACCTCCATCTCTGAGAACCGGAGCCTACCATCGAAGGCTCTGGCCAAACATCTTTTGAGTGAAAAATGAATAAATATCAATGGTTTTTAAACATCAGCGCCACACACAAAAGGAGCCCCAGATCTGAGTCGTGATATGCAGGTTGGGCCAAGACAGGCCCAAGCTCTTTCATTCAAAAGCTGGGTGACCTTGAGAAATAATCTGACCTTCCTGGCCCCCCTTTTGGCACAGATCCCACAGGCCAGTTAGTTAGTAAGCATCGGTTGGTGGTCTGCTGTGTGAGTGGCACTGGGGTTGGGGGGGTGGTCAGGGGGCCACGTGAGAGAATTAGAAGACACGGTCTCTGCCTTCACAGAGCTCGCTCGTGGTTGAACATACATCTGAAATAATAGCAACAGTGAGTAGAAGTCAGGACAGGATAGACAGGCAGACCAAAGGTAGGAACGAGAGGATGATAAGATCAGGGTGGAAGTAATCCCAGGAGGTTTCCTAGAGGAGGTGAGCTCTGAATGGTAGACCCAGAACACTAGTCTCATTCCTCCATTCACCCATATTGGTTCAAACAGACATGGGCACAAGCCGGGCTTTGAGGATACAATGGTAAAACAAACAAACAAGCAAAACACTGCCCTTCCCACCAGTAGCTTACAGCCTCACTAGGAAGCTGGCCTCTAAACTCAGGTGACCACATAGTCTGAGATCTGACCTGACAGATATATAGACCACATGCCACAAACCGGAAGAGTGGGGAACGTCTCAGAAGACTCAGTCTGGAAGAAATACCCACCAAACTCTGCTAGTAGAATCTGAGCTTCTAAGGGGGCAAGAGACACAAGACAGCAGGAACCTTATAAGGCAGATAAACAAAGTTATTGAGGACCTGTTGTTTCTCCGGGTTCTTGGTGACCTCACCTTTGACCAACAATTTCCTGGCACCGGCTCAGGCTGCCAAGGGGGTGGGGGTAGAGGGGGAGGAAGAGGAGGGTAAACAGCAGGTGAGGCCAAAGGTGGCTTTGGAAGGCAAGGGGCACATTCCGAAAAGTCTCCCCAGCCCGAGGCCGGCAGCAGGAGCCCAAAGTCCGATAGCGAACCCACATCTGCATTCCAGCCATCTGAAGAGCCATAAATACCTGAGAACCCACCAGAAAGGATGCTTCCAGCCGCCTGGGAGTTGCTCCCCTCCCCAACTCCACAGCCCAGCTCCTGTGCTCCCCAAACACCCCTTTCTCCGGGAGGCCTACTGGATTCAACGGAAGGAACCAAGGATTTCCACCTGGGAGTGACCTCTCCCTACTCCACCTCCTCATCTTCTCCCTTCTCCTTACTCTCCTTGGCCCAGACTGCCAGTAGGAGACCCCCCAGAGCCAGAAGCTGGGTTCCACGCCTGATCTGCCACCCACAAGCTCTGTGACCTCAGGCCAGTCACCGAACCTCACCAAACCTTGTCATCTGGAAAACAGGGATGCTGACAGGGAACACTTTCACAGGGCTTTTGGAGAGAATAAATGAGATAACGTACACGAAATAGAAGTAGGCATCATGATTCTAAAAGCTGGATGCTACTCTAGTATCTCCCAAATGTCTAACTTACTGAGCAGGAAACGGGTCCAAAAGAGACATGAAAAGGTTAGGAAGTAGGGTACTCTCTCTTCTTCCTCCTCCTCCTTCTATTACGCATCTTAGTCAACCTCGCTTTCCAAATATGGGCTCCTAAACTTTAGGGGGCATAGATCCCTCGGAGAAGGCAAAAGCAAATAACTTTCCCTCCCCCAGATACATTCATTGGCACATCCCCAAGCCCGTGTGAGTAATTTCAGACGTTCATTTGCCTCAGGTTGGAGATGTTTGCTCTGTGACAGACTAGAAAAAGAAACTGTCACGGTCCTGAAGCCATGCTTCCATGGTCACGGCCCCAAGGAAGCAGGAAGCTACAAAGGGCAAATCCTAAACTTGGGGGAGCAAATCTCAGCCAAAGGGTCCCCCAAAGCCAGGCCTCAAGGCCCTGGGAAGGAAGTCCTGTCTGAGCCCTCCTCCAAACTGCTCACATCCTCTCCCTGCCCTCACCCATTCCCAATGCACAAAACCTCCCTAAGCTAGTCAATTCATCCTGGTCCTTGAAAGTCAAACAGAATCTTAGAGACTATCTGTGCAAACCTCTTTATCTTTCCAGACGTGGAATATAAACAACAAAAGATATACTGACTTACTGGAAGTCACCAGGAAAATCAACACAGGAGCCAGGCTGAGGTAACCAGCTCAGTCCCACAAGTGTGCCCCGAGAACCTACCGTGTGCTCTCTGCCCTGCTGGCAGGGGTGGGACCACCAAGAGTTGATGAGCTGTGACTTGATTGGCCGGGCAAGCCTAAAATCCTTGGAATGAGAGCTCACACAGATTACCAAGCTCCTGACTATGTAAGAGAAGTTGCAAAATCCCTACAAGTTTAGCAAAGGCAGAGTCGGAACATTCGTTCGTTCATTCATTCATTTAACAAATACGTATTGAACCCGAAACGCTAGACATGAGCATGTAGTGGTAAATCACCCAGATGAGGTCCCTGCTCTCCTGGAATCCTAGAGAGGGAGAAAGACAGAAACAAGTAAACAAATAAAATTAACTTAGCCAGAGAAACTAAAAAGTGACATAATTGTGGATGTAAGTGATATTGTCAAGAGGAGGTGCTCAGGGGAAGCCTCTTGGAGGAGGTGATATTTGAGCCAAGTCCTAAAGGTGAGGAGGAGGCATCCATGCAAAGGGGTGGAGCCAGAATGTTCCGGAAGGAGGGAACAGCAAGTGCAAAGTCCCTAAGGCAGACATGAAACTGATACGTCCAAGGAACAGAGGGATCAGTGTGTACAGGAGGCGAGAAGGGCCTCGAGGAGGAAGGGGTGGTCAGGAGGCAGGTGAGGAAGGCAGGCTTGAGTGTGGAGGGTTTAGGCAGAGAGACAGCATGATCCCACGTGTTGTGTCAAAGCATATCCTGGCTGCCGGGAGCAGCCAGAATTGGAGGCACCGGAGAGGAACAAGGAAGCCATAAAACCCAGGAGAGATGGTGGGAAGAGTGGACAAGTGACAGAAATATTTTTGAAGTCAAACAGGCCCCAGGATTGCTGATGGATTTGGATGTGGGGATAAAGCAAAAGCGGAGATCAAATACGAAAGCCAGGCTTTGGGCCTGAGCGACATGGGGGCGGCAGGACCATTTACAGGTATAGGAAAGTCACAGGTTACAAGGGAAGCCAAGGGTTACCAGTCATATTTCAGGAAAAAAGCCCAATGTCCTTTGCTCGCAAACCTGTTCCATTTAATGTGCTATATAACAGTGAGCCCACATGACAACAAAAGGTAGAGCCTTTTAAAGAATTCAAAGGAGGTTGTGACTGAGGATGGGGAAGAAGAGGCCTGGCTCTGAAAATGGCCAAAATGGCCAGAAGTGTATCCATCACAAGTAGAATTTCAAAATTGTTTTCCTTCTGGGTTTTCCACACCGTGCGGCAGGCGGCCAGGCCTCCCCCTCGGGCCAAAGGAGAGGGGCAGTGGGGCTGGCAGGACAGCCTCATGCCTGGTGTTTGTGGTTCTTTAACTCTTGCTCGCCCTCTCAGCCCATTTTCATGTTACACAAGTGCAATTATTTGGATTTGAGCACGGTTCTTTTTTATAAGCCAAGAGTTTCTTTTTACTGGAAAAAAACTACCAGCTGGGATCAAATACGAAACCACACTCTCGGTGCCACCTTCTGAGGGAGACACGGGCTTTAGACCCTGCGACCAGAGCTCCCCTTGGGAGCCTCCTGCGTTGCAGGGTGACGCTGACCGTCTCCCCTGTGCTTGTTCGTGCAGACCCCAGAGAAAGGCGACAGATTCCTCCTCTAGGGATTCTGGTTGGGAAACCCAGCCTCTTCCTCCGCCTCTGTATCTTGTAAGGCCCCATTGGACCCCAAACCTAAGCCCTTGGGGTCTGGACCAGCCCATCTCAGCCCTGCCTCAGCTCTGCCTGAGGCCTCTGCTGACCCCGGCCACATCCTTCCTCTTTCTACCCCACCCCAGTTCCTCCACATGGTCCTTGTCTACTTCTGACTGGCGTTGTCAGATGGTCTTCCTCATGTGCCACTCTAGCACCAGGCCACCTCCTCCAGAAAGCCCCCAGGGGTTAAGGCTGATGCCATCATCAACCTGGCCGTACAGTTTCTGGCCTTTTTTCCCCCTCTCTGCTGTGTACACAGATGTGTGGTCATCCTGGAGTGTGTGTGTGTGTGTACAGGCCTGGATGAGTATGTCCCCCACTCAGAATGGGGGATTCTTAAGGGGCCTCCGAGTGACCGATGGATACCCCTGTATCCTCTTCTGCAGGAATACCCCCCCACCCCCACCCCCACCCCCCATAGGGGTCTGTTCCTGGTCACTGTCCTGCCTTCCTACTCTCCCTGGTCTCCACCTCAGGTCCCTTCCATCAAATATTTACTGAGTGCCTACTCTGTGCCCAAGAGGTGCCAGGATCACACCAGGGAAGAAGGTAGACGAGGCCCCAGCTCTCGTGGAACTGTTATTCCAGGTGGGGGGACAGATTATAAACAGAGACATTGATGGGTGAGTGGGGATAAGTGATAGAGGCAGAGAGAACAGGTCCCTCCAACAGGGTAAGTGCTAGTCACTCCCTCCATAAAATGAGCACCTACTATGTGTTGGGTGCTGTTCCAGGGACTTAAGAGATACATCAGTGAACGAAACAGACGGAGATGCTTGCCCTCGTGGAACTTAAATTCTAGTTGGCTGCGGGGAGACCGACAACACATAGTGCACATAACAAGTAAGTGCGTTTTATAATGTGAGGGCATTAGGAAGGGATCAAAGTTTAGGCAAAAGGGTAAGGTAAGAGATGGGGGGTGGGGTGGGTAATGTTGCCATTTTAAACAGGTGGCTCAGGAGAGGATTCATTTTGAAGGTGCTGCTTGAGCAAAACCCTGAAAGATGGTGAGGGAGTAAGTCCTGTAGATATCTGGAGAAAAACATTCCAGGTAGAGGAGAAAGATCGTGCAGAGGTCCTGGTGCAGGAGCAGGCGAGATCTGATTGAAGGACAGTAAGGAGGCCAGTGGGGTTAAAGCAATGGAAGGGGAGGAGCTGGAAATGGAAATCAGAGAGGCAGCCAGTCCCGGAAGGGATCATGGAGGTGCTTGAGGGCCACGTGAGGGCTTTACCCTGAGGGAAATGAGGAGCTGCCGCAGGGATTTGAGCTCCAAAGTGACAAGATCTGAGCCACCCTTTCCTCGCTAAAGGGTGTAATTGTAGAAAGTGATGGCGGAGGAGGCTGCTGCTTGAGGCCATGAGGTGAGTGGGTCTCTCCAAGGAAGAGCATCTAAGCCGGGGTCTGAGGGACAGAGAATGGACATCCTCCCTTCCCCCCCTTCCTCAGTCTGTCAACCCGAGAAAGCCTTCTGCTGTCGAACTGCACCTCTCTCTTCTCCCTTCACCCCTCCTTTCTGCTCCTCATCCTCTCTCCCTCCCTCCCTCTTTCCTCCCCCGCCCCCTCGCTGACCCTCCCTCTCTCCTCATCTCCCTCCTTCTTCTCCTCACCTCTTTTTATCTTTGGCCTTACCCCATGGGGATGAGGGCTTCCCCCTTCCCAGAGTTCTTAAGAAACAGTTGGAAAAAAGCATTCGGAAAGGCTGCCACAGGCCCTTGGCGGGAGGGAGGATAGCAGATTACAGTGTCTGGTCGTGGCTGCTCACCCTGTAATCAGGAGGGTGTCTCAGGTGGACGGAGACCCTGGGGCATGCCCTGCCAGGCCGAGACTTCCCATCCCCAGTCTGCTCCTCCCCAAACCCGGGATGCTGTCTATGCCCCACACTGTCTCATCCTGTGGCCCAGGCCTTAGGATCAAGCGGCGGGTCAAGGCTGTGGAGTTTCTGACACCGACCATCTAAGGGCAGGGGCAGGGCAGGGCAGGGCGCCGCTGAGTGCTGGTTCCACAGGGGCGGGGAAAACTCTCTCCCATTAAGAGCAACCCTAACCCTATACCTCGGGGGGAGCAGAGACAGCTCGGTACAGTTCCGCCTCTGTCCCCCTAGAGGACCGCTTGGGCGGCCAGTGGATCAAAGATGCAGGCGGAAAGGAGAGCCCCACCACAGGGGCCCAGCCTCAAAGCTCTGACTGGGTGTCCTCTAGGAAAGGAGACTCACAGTGTCAGCCTCCCAGGTCACCAATCTGTCCAGGAACAGGCCCAGCTCTTCTCAGCTATCATGTGCCACGCGTGGCTGTGGCCTCCAGCACCTGAGTCATCTGTGACTCATCGGCCTCTGCCCTCGGTCCCAAGAGGGTTGGGCCGGGTGGCCTTGGCATGGGGATGGTATGTATAAGACCTGTCCAGTGTCGCTGGTACAGGCCTGTCCCTGCCCTCCCTGCCCCGAGACAGAGATAGCCAGACCCCTCACGGAGGACCCCCATCTGCTCACAGAGGACCCAGAGCAGCTTGTACTGGACCCCTTCCACCTTCACACGCACACATACACACACGGGTCACAGTGCCTTCCCACTCACGCATGTGCTGAGTGGACCCACATCCCCCAGAGTCTCCATCTAACCCAGAGCACATGCCTGGGAGTTAGGGTCTGCAGTTACTTCCTTGTATGACCTCAGGAAGCATTCATTCCCTTTTTTAGGCCTCAGTTTCCTCCTCTGATCTGGGACTCACAGACCTCCAACATCCCTTCTAGCCCTAAATCTAAGGAGGGATTTAATGAAGTGATTTCAGACCTGTAGTCAGCCAGTGATGGGGAGAGCTAGCAGGGTGATGGTGGGTATGGCCGAGGGAAAGGACTCTTCCCTGGCATTCTCCAGACCATACCGCTCCTGAGGCTACAGGCAAACACTGCAGGGAAAAGGGTAGTAATGCCCTGCCATACTCTTTGTCAAACCAGCCAGCTCAGAGCCTCCAGGGCCCTGCTGTCGCCACCATCCTAAGGAGAAGGATCAAGAAGATAGACTTCCACAGGCCTCCCCCTCAAAATGGGCTTCCCTGAGGGCAGGGCTAGGTCTCCCCCTCAAACTGGGGCTCCTTGAGGGCAGGGCTGTGTCTCCTCCCTCAGGCTGGCGCCCCCCTGAGGGCAGGGATGTGTCTCCCCCTCAGACTGGGGCTCCCTGAGGGAAGGACTGTATCCCCTCCCTCAGACCGGTGACCTGAGACAAGATGGTTCTTTCCCTCAAACTGAAAGCCCACAGGTTAAGAGCTTTTGGTTTTACCTTTTTTTTTTTCCCCCCCAAACCAAATCTTCCCCTCCTTGACTGAGCCTGACCCAACTCCAGGCTCTATTCCCGTTCTGCCTGTTTTACCCTAGGTGCGTTGGCCCCCAGGATGACAGCACCCGCAGAGATAGAGGCAAACAGGGATATAACATCCTAGCAATCTGCCAGGTCTTTCCCAACTTCCTCCTGTTTCATCCTCAAATTCTCCCCCAGAATATGGGTCACACCTGGATATTATTCCCCAGAGGAAAGACAGAGCCGTGAGTTTCAGAAAGCCAGAGATTTGTCAGCACAGCAGAGGGTCCCCAGGCCCTCACCCTCTGTGTCCTGTCCACCCACCCAGACCCCACCACCCCTGAAGAAGGCCCCTCCCCCAGTCCCCAGGAAGGGGTTAATGAGTGTTAGGCCTGGTAGGGTGGAGGGAAGTTGGGAAAGCTAGGGAGGGAGCAGTGTTTCTCCATTTGGCCAGAGCTTCGGTTTCCCAATACAGTATTACTGTTGGGCAGAGACAGGCAGCTGGGCAGGCTGAGGATCCCAGTACCTTCTTCTGTGGCATTGGCCAGGGGACCAGATCAGGCCCCTGAGGGCTCTCAGCCGGGAGATGACCTGGTCTCTGGGGAGCATGGGTCTGGGCCCACAGACGCCAGCAGGACGACGGCCGCCCAGGAGAGTGAAAGAGAGCCCAGAGAGGGGGTGGCCAGCCAATCTGGCACCCAGGAGGTAGAAAAGTAGCAGACACCCACTTCAGGGTCTCCAACTGCCCTTGCCACCTTCTGTCACAATACCTTCTAAGGTACTGTCTTCCCGACATTTTGTTTTACCATAACCCACGGGAAAAAATACATCCTACACTGCGACCCCTGAACACATACGAACACACATATTTCAAGAGTTTCAACAAACAATATCTACCCTTACTGCGTGCAAGCCTGTCTGCATTTTTTTAATTCTTTTTTCTTAAATTTATTTATTTTGAAAGAGAGAGGTGGGGGGGGGGGAGCACGGGGGAGGGGCAGGGAGAGAGGGAGAGAGAGAGAATCCCAAGCAAATTCTGTGCTGTCAACACAGAGCCCAATGTGGGGCTCAGTCTCATGAAACTCAAAATCATGACCTGAGCCGAAATCAAGAGCCAGATGCTTAACCTACTGAGCCACACAGGTGCCCCTCTGTTCTCTTTCAGATTTAAGAAAAAGCATAATACTGGTTGCAAACCACTAAAATGACCTCATGTCCCACCGACAGATCACAGTTTGCAGTTTGGAAAACACTACTCCAAGGTCAGCAGGCTAGATCCCTGTATGCAATACCTTGCCATTGTACCTGTAGAGACATTGAGGCCCTAAGAGGAACCAGAGCCTGCCCAAGGTCGCAGGGCTGCTCTGTGACCTGGCCCCAGCCAGAGCTCAGTAGGCTCCCACAGCAGAATTTCCACTGTAAGCTTCCAGATCCTGGGGATTTCTTGAGACCACTGCCTGCAAAAACAAGGCCGGGGGAGAGGATTACCACTGGCGGACCATCAGAAGAGAGGAGATGGAGGTTTGCTGAGTAACGGGCTCTGCTAGGACTCCCCTAGGCCCCAGCACTCAAGACTCTGTTGAGCCTACGGAAAGGGTCAGGCCTGGGGGTCAGTTTCAGTTCCTCCAGAGAATGGTCCCAATCATGATGGGGAGGAGAAACAGAGGCTCCCAGTCTGATGGGGCTGGGGGGCGGGGGGGCGGGGAGTGGTGACACAAAGCCCCTCCCTCTCAGGGAGCCCCTAGTCTGAGGAGGGCCCTGCCTCTGCCCTCAGACAGCTCCTGATTTGTTTCACATGGCTTTCTGCAGGTAGAAATTATGGACATCTCCAGAACAGGGACCCAAATGCAGTGTCTACACCGGGAACCTCACTGGTAAAGCCACAAGAAGGATGAGGAGGAAGGAGAGAAACATCAAAGCACCTGAAGGAATCACCTAGGGGGAAGTTTCCAGCCACTCCTTTCAGGTAGGGTTGCCAGACTAAGTACAGGATGCTCAGTTGGATTTGAATTTCAGACAATGAAGATTTAACTGAGCGTCCTGTGTTTTTATTTGCTGTGTCGGGCAACCCCACATCCGGGACTGACGTGGCATGAAAGGGCCAGGCTGACCAGGAGGCCCATGTAGGACTAACGGACAGCAGGAGAAGCTGAGGTCTCCAGGTACCCGGTACTGTTCGGCGGGAGGGGGGGTGGGGGTGGGGCAGAACCGAGAGTCCCTTAGAACCTTCTCAGCCGCCAGCAGGCAGCCCTCAGACCCAGCAGCCCTCAGACCCGTAAACACCCCCAGCTTGAGTAGCCGCCTTCCCTCCCTCCCTCAGAAGTGTGGTGGGGACACAGACAGCCAGGAAGAGCCTTTGGAGTGGGCATGTGGTGATGGGCCAGGGAGCAAATTGTTTCCTTCGTTCCTTCTCGGCAGCTGCACCAGGCCGGTTGAGATAAGAGAGTCTTCGGGGAAACTTCCTTTTAGGCACAAACCAACGGCTGGGCCAGGCACACCACCGGCATCTGTGGGCAGTTTCTCTGAAGTCATGGGGCCTGGGGGAGGGTTTTACCAGCATCAAGCTGAGCTCTTCCCCCCCCCGCCATGTCTCTTCTGCCCTCCTTCCTCCCTGCAGCCCCCAACACGCCTCCCTCCCCCACAGTTTGGGCTTTTAGTATGGCCGCTAGAGTTGGGCAGTGCCAAGGGTGTGGCTGAAGCAGCCACAGCCAGAAGGAAAGGGGGTGAGCCCACTGGCCTCACCAGGAAGGCATGCCCTGATGCTCTCATAACCTCTGCGGGCACAAACATCCCCTCTCCCAGGCCCGGGAGCAGAGCTAAGGGCTGGGTCCCAGGCCCTGCTTGTCCCCCGTTACTAAGAGGAAAGGAAAAGCTGTTTCTGTCTTCCCTTGTGGGTTTCTACACGGGCTGTTTCCGCATTCCATACGGACCAAGGGAATAAATCATCTGAAATGCTGAGCCTCGTTGGGTTCTGTAGATGAGCCTCAAGGAAGCAAGCCCAGAAGTTGCACCCCCTTCCTCAGGGAGCACCCGGGCTGATGACGGAGAATCTGTCCCACCCCTTTGGGACCCTGACAGAGCGGTGTGATTCATGTTCATTCTTTCATTCAACAAGTACTATATTTATTGAGCCCCCCCTTAAGTGGTAATCACTTTATATTCCCTTATCTAACTTAATCCACATTAACAGCTGGGAGAAAGGTAGTATCGTGCCCATTTCACAGGTAGAGACAATGAGGCCCAGAGAGGTGAGTGACTTGCCCGGGGTCAGATAGCCAGAAAATGCTACTGATGGGAAAAGCGGAGCCAGGCTCTGTTGGATCCCAATGCTCTCTTCCCACCACCCTGTGCCCAGTCACGATAGTGACAACTGGCGACCTTTTCTGGGCACTCACAACATGCCAGTCACTCACCCTTCCCCCAGGGATCACAGTTCTCTGATCCTTAGGTGTAATGGTACCGGTTTTTGTTTTTTAATTTTTATTTAATGTTTATTTATTTTTGAGACAGAGCATGAATGGGGGAGGGTCACAGAGAGAGGAGACACAGAATCCAAAGCAGGCTCCAGGCTCTGAGCTGTCAGCACAGAGCCCGACATGGGGCTCGAACTCACGAACCGCAAGATCATGACCTGGGCCGAAGTCGGAAGCCCAACCGACTGAGCCACCCAGGAGCCCCAAGTCATGGTACCTGTTTAACAGACAACGACTAAGGCTCAAAAAGGTAATTTTGCCCTGTGACACGATTTAGAGGCTGTCAGGGTTGGAGCTATGTTTTAGGTTTGGGTTTTGGACAGCGGGGACCCAGAATTAGCAGCTGGGATTTGAACCCAGGCGGTCAGGCCAGGCAGGACCAGAAGTGACCAGGCGTTATCAATTCTGTGGCTGCCAGATAGAGGGTTATTAATATCCATGAGGTGACTATTGCAGAATAGTCAGTCGCTCCCACAGGACAGCTCTGGGTCACAGAATTAGAGCCAGGTCAGCACCCCCCCCCTCCACCCCCCAGCCCCACAGGGGCTCATCCTGAGAAGCCAGATCCCTCAGCTGGGCCTCACAGCCCCTGCCCTGGGAGCCCTTACCCAACCAGGCGGCCGCCCCGTGACTGGGAGGGGTGACCCCTGTCACACTTGCATGTGTGCGAGCCTGTGGATGTGCTTGTGTGGAGGAAGACCTGTCTAGCCCTGGGTGAGAGGATGCCTCGAGGGTGTCCTGCCAGCGGAAGGCCTTCCCCCACCGATCCTAGCCTCAGCACGCCCTAAAGGCAGGCCCAGCCACCCTCTCCCTTTCTGAAGGGGAGTAAGGGTGGATTCGCTGAGAGGGAAGCCTAAGGGAAGGGAGCAGAGGGAACTAGAGTGGGGATGCAGGTTCCTTGTCAGAGGCAAAAAGAGCCTCGAACCCTCTCCCTGAATATTTCCCCAGAAGACATCCTCCTGCGGCCTCCTTGGGAAATGGAAGCTTCCAGCTCTGAGAGTCCCAGGGAAAGCCTTCCTCTCCCTGCCCCAATCCCAGAGATCTTTCCCCATACCTGTACCACAAACCTTGTCCCCCAAAGATCCTGGAACAACAGGACTGTAATCTTGGGGTGCTTCTGAGATGGACCCCCGAGAGCCTCCTCCACTGTGGACCCCTCAGATGTAAGCTGGGAACGGTTTGAGAGAAGCCGGCCCAGGCAGCCCTGCCCTCAGGCCTCCAGGTTTTCTACCCAAAGCCCAGCTGTGTAGAGAAGGGTGGACACAAGGCGTCCTCTTTCAGACTGGAGGCTCTTGGTGTGTTTGGGGGGACAGGGCGAGAATGGCCTTGTGCTCTGGTCCTGTTCATTGGCTCATTAACTTCTCAAATACTGATGGCATGCCCACCTTGTGCCTGGCCCTGGTTTCGGAGCCACAGGGCATCATCCCTGGCCAGAAGGTCTCTCTCCACACCCTCCCTCCCCTCAGGACAACCCAGCTTCTCCACTCCTGGGCTCTGGGCTGAATCTGCCCTGGCTTGCCTCACTCCTCAGTGAGAGAGGAAGGCCCTAAACTTAACAAAGATCGGTATAAACCCCAGCTATGGGATTTCAGTTTAAAATTTTAAAAGTGAGGAGTGAGAAAAACAACCAAATTATACCAAAGTAGGAACTCAGAGAAGAAAAGGGCATTGACGTGGGGACTAGACATAACAGCATAATTAGAAAGACCGGCTTTGAGCACAACCTTGAGCACTATATTAGCTTTCACACATCGACACCACCTCACAATGCTGGTGTGATTGTCCCCATCTTAGAGAAGAGAAAGTTAAGGCCCAGAGAAGAAATTTAGCCAGTGGCAGACACAGGATTCTAACCTAGATCTGTCCAAAGTCTTGGTGGGGCTCAGGGCAACCCAGATGGGCTCTGCAGAGGCACCAGGCAGGGCCTCACAGACCATCACTCCGTTGCCTCAAGAGACTTCCAGTCCTACGATGATGGCATAGCTGTAAACAGGGTGGGGAACAGGGACACTGTCTCCCTGCAGCCTGAGGAGGTGGTGAATGGGGTTCTCAGACCTCCCCAGCAGAGGAGACAAGCAGGGCCCCAGGAGGAGGACACATGCTGGCTTCTGTCCCACTTGGAGCCAGACCCAGAGGCTGACAGGGGATGTGTGTCAGGGCCCAGGCTGGTGAGCTATGCTCGCCTCTTAACAAATGGGAAGAGAAGCCTTGCGGGACTGTAAATGTGTGTTGGGAGAAGAGAGAAGGAGAAGGGTGCAGACCCTGAAAAGAGCTCCTCAGACACGGATACCTGGTGATTCCAAACATCTACCAGGCCAGATGAAGGCAAGGGAGTGCCTTCTTGAGAGTGGTTTCCATCTTAATCGACAACGAAACATCTGCTGGAAGGGCTTCTGTCTCCTCCCTCAGACCGGAAGCTCTGTGAAGACAGGGCGCAACCTGAGGGCAAGGGCCATGTCACCCCCTCAGACTGGGAGCTACCTCAAGGCAGTACTTTACTTCTTTCATTAATAGGCTACCCCCCTTCCACCCCGCCACCATCAAAGGCAAATACAACTGGGGCACCGGGATGGCTCAGTCGGTTGAGTGTCCAACTCTTGATTTTACCTCAGGTCATGATCTCACAGTCTCGTGAGTTTGAGCCCGGGTCGGGTTCTGCACTGACAGCATGGAGCCTGCTTGGGATTCTCTCTCTCTCTCTCTCTCTCTCTCTCTCTCTCTCCCTGCCCATTTGTGATCTCCCTCCCTCCCTTCCTCTCTGTCTCAAAATAAATAAATAAACTTTCAAAAAAAAAAGGCAAAAACAACCTTTTAAAATCTGTTTCAGATCTCAGCCCTCTTGTCCTGAGGAGACCCAGGCCCCGCCCTCCTTCCATAGGCTCCAAGGCCTGATGGTTCCTTTGCCGTTGAACGACTGCTCCCCGCCATTCGAGCTCTTCCCCCTTCCGATTGGCTTCCATCCCTTCTTCTGCAGATGCTCAGCCAGGTCCTATCTTTGCCTTGCATTTTCCCTTTCCAGGCAGATTATAAATATTATAAATATTTACTGATTCCTTCCCTCCCCTCCCCTATTTCCCGAGTCCTGATGGATGATGTCCCGTGGATGTGGCTGAGTTGTCTCTCTCCCAACAATTCTGAGTCCAGCCCTGCAGGGCCTCTCAAGGATCACCTCCTCCACCCCCCATCTCTAGGCTGGTGTTATGCTAAAGCCACCCCTAGTGAAAGAGAGGTAATTCTATACCAGGCACAGCACATATGCCTGGTATTCCATAAATGCTTGAGGATGGGAGGGAGAAAGGAGGGAAGGGAAGGAAAAGATGCCACAGGTTTTTCCTTCAAATTCCTCATGCTTCTCTCTCAGCCTGTTCTTATCCTCTAGCCTCTCCCCTCATGCTGTAGATGAGGCCCACTTTCTCCCGGTGAGATCTCATTAGAACTGACTTGCTCTCCTCACCCCCAAAATTGGACAATACTTTGTCCTGCCTGGGGCAGCACTTGTCCTGACTCTTCCCACCAGACTTCCTACCAGGGCAGACCCCTGGTCTCTGATTCTGTTATATCTACATCCCTCCTTTCTTGAACCTTGCTCTACCCCCTGAGACCATCACACATACCAATAAAACCCTATGGATAGGAACGGACAAAGGTCCAAGCACTAGGATGTGATGGTTTAGTTGGATGATTTATAATCGCTAGGTAACACCCATCCCAAAACTTCACAGCTTGAAACAGCAACAGTCCATGTATTTGTTCACAACTGTGTACATTTGGGCAACAGATGGTTGTTGGCAAGAGCAGCTCCCTTAAGCCTAGAGAATCCAAAATGACCTCGCTCATATGTCTGGTGCCTCAGCCTGGGGTGGTTGGAATAGCTGGGAAGCATTCCTGCCTCGGCCTCTCTCTGTCTCTCTGCATGGCCTTTTTCTCCAATATGGTAGTTGGGCTTCCTTACAACATGGCGGCTGCCTTCCAAGGGGACAAAATGGAAACTGTAATGTCCCTGAAAGTCTAGGGCTAAAAGTCCAAGAACAGCTCTTTCGGCACATCCTCCTAGTCAAAGCAAGTCATACGGCCAGCCCAGATTCAAAGGAGGAAAATAGACTCTACTTCTTGATGGGAGGAGCGAAACGTGTGCACAGGGATGGGAAGAACAGTTGGCAGCCATGTTTGCACACAGGCCACCATAATGGTCTTAACATGAAACTGATGCAGAATCACCAAGGTCTGTATAAATCTACCCAGCTTCCTTGCAGGAGGGAAGTGGGTAGGCTGGAGGTTCCTTGGAGAAGCAAGTACTCCAAAGGCCTTTGGGGCTATGGCCAGGGTCTGTCACTGCTTAGGAAAAAGGAAAAGGGACTCAGGCTGGGCAGATCAGAGTTGAGAAGGAGCAGTGTATATGTCCAGGGAAAAAAGTGGTCAGGCCAGAGGGGAGGGTGTGAATCCCGAGGGGGAGATGAGCAGGGATAGCTTGGCACTGGGCCTTCC